ATAAAGCAGATTAGAAAACACTGCTTTTATTTTATTTATTTATTTATTTATTTATTTATTTATTTATTTATTTTCGTTGTTGTTAATCTTCACCTGAAGATATTTTTCCATTGATTTTTAAAAAGAATGGAAGGGATAGGGGGAAAGATATAGAGGTAGAGAGAGAGAGAGAGAGAGAGAGAGAGAGAGAGAGAGAGAGAGAGAGATTTATGTGAGAGATACTCATCTATTGGTTGCTTTCCACATACACCCTGGCCAGGGATGAGCCTATAACTGAGGTACATGCTCTGGACCAGAATTAAACCCAGGACCCTTCAGTCTGTAGGCCAACGCACTATCCATTGAGGTAACCCACCTAGGGCCTATTATACACTTTAAAAAGAAGATAAAATAAAAAGTACATTTTTTTCTTAAATAATTCAACATTATTATATTGACGCTATTCTAATACATGTGTTTTGTTTTGTTTTGTGTTCATTTTTACTAAAACAAGAGAGCTGGAGGGGAGGGGGGTGTTCCAAATATGCCCAGAGTCCTTTGTGAAGAGTAACATAATGTTATTTGGTGACCCCATCTATTGCCAGTGATGTGGGGAAGGTGAGAAGCAGTCCTATAGCATTCAGCAGGGATAGGATCAATGAGAAGTGTTCCCAAGTCTAAGCATGACTTCAAAATAGCCCACAGTTAGCATGACTTTGCATTCTTGCACTCATTTTGAATATACCACTTAAATATTATGCTACTAGAGGCCCAGTGCACGAAATATGTACATCAGTAGGGTCCCTAGGCCTGGCCAGTGACCAGGGATGATCAGAGCCCACCAGGGCCTTCCAGTCCAGCTGCCAGCCAGGGCTTCTCTTCCCTGGCTGCTGGTTGCTGGTCAGGGTCTTCCTTCCTTCCATACTGTCCCCTGGTGGTCAGTGGAAGTCATAGCAAGTGATAGAACTCCCAGTCTCCTGGTCAAACTCCCGCGAGGCCACTTTGCATATTAGCCTTTTATACAGATAGATATTTAAATAACACTATATTAAAGCCATGCAAGATGTGAGGAAAATTGAACTAGAAGGTTTCTAGCTCTGCTTCAAAAAGCTGGTGACGATGCCATTTAACCCTCCTTGTACTGATTTCCTCATCTGTAAAAAACGACTATGATTGCCCTGTCTGGTTTGGCTCAGTGGATAGAGCGTGGGCCTGAAGACTGAAGAGTTCTGGGTTTGATTCCAGCCAAGGATACATGCCTGGGTTGTGGGCTCAATCCCCAGTAGGGGGTTTGCAGGAGAAAGTAGATCAATGATTTGCTCTCATCATTGATGTTTCCAACTCTTTCTCCCTCTCCCTTCCTCTCTGAAATCAGTAAAAATATTTTTTAAACTGTCTATGATTATATGACTAAGTACCTTTAAATATATCACATACATTAGGTATTTAATTGAATAACTTATTTTAATTTCTATACAATCTCTTTACAAGATTCTTTACCTTACAAAACAATCAGTAATTATTAGGGTTACAATTCCAGCACTACTAATTAGTACAAATGTAATCCCATTACTAATCAAAGTAAATAAGAAAGCATCTATTAACTGTGAATCTGAGTGGAACAAGCTCCTTACTCCATAAATGACCAGGTGTAAAGTCACATTATATCAGATCTATGTTTAAAGAAATGTGGGAATTAAAGGGAAGCAGGGTTATCCCTTGTAGACTAGTCCAAATCTTTTTTTTTTTTCTTTTGATTTTTTTACAGAGAAGAAGAGAGAGGGATAGAGAGTTAGACACATTGATGAGAGAGAATCATCGATCAGCTGCCTCTTGCATACGCCCTACTGGGGATGTGCCCGCAACCAAGGTCCATGCCCTTGACCGGAATCGAACTCGGGACTTTCGGTCTGCAGGCCGACGCTCTATCCACTGAGCCAAACTGGTTTTGGCTAGTCCAAATCTTTTAGTGGAAAATTTTGCTTAAAAAAAAAAAAGAACATTTTGCTTCACTATCTTTGACTAAAACTTAACACTATTTCCAGAGACCTTAAATATCCTACAAGTCGTCTTTGACTGTTTACCATCTCTGTGAATGGACTGTTTTACTTTGTGCGCCTAGAGCAATAAAAATCCAAGCAAACAGGATACAGCCTCTGTGGTGCCAAAGAAAAGAAAGGCTGCCTTTCAAACAGCAGCTTCCACTGGGCCAGAGGTAGGAGGTGGAAGACCAGCGATGGGGCGGAAGGGAATGTTTTCCTTTGCAGAAGAAAAGGACCTGCAAAGCGGGAGGGAAAAACAGCACAGCACTGGACCGAAAGGGAAAAAGCAACACACTCAGCACCAAGCCCAAATCCTGGAGTTCAGTGGCAGAGGAACATTTCTTCTTTCATTTAATGCAGAAAAAAATTAAATGAGTAAAATTTATATCTGGAATTCATAAACATAAGATTGACCAGATTCAACCTAAATCTAGAAATGAAGTCCAGCATCTTGTATCCAGTGGAAACGATATGTTCTTAAACTCCCAGGATGGATGCGTGTAAGTTTGGCTGCCTGTCATCACAAAAACCAAACTCAGATGCCAGTGAAAAGGCAGAGAGGTTTATTAAGAGCCGGTTACCTGAGGAGACGGGGGACTCTTGTCCAAAGCCCATCTCAACATCGCAGCGGAGGCAGAGGCCTCTATAAGGAGGGAGAGGGAAAGCAGGACAAAAAAATCGGGTTTTCTACCTGCCGATCAGCACAGTCCCCTCTGATAAGGATCTTGAATCTGGTCAAGTGGTGGCCTGGTGTTTGTCATCCTGGTTCTACCTTATCCTGGTTTTACAGTTGAAGGTCAGCAATTCTCCTAGAGCCGTGGTCTGCAAACTGCGGCTCGAGAGCCACATGCAGCTCTTTGGCCCCTTGAGTGTGGCTCTTCCACAAAACACCACGGTCTGGGCAAGTCTATTTTGAAGAAGTGGCGTTAGAAGTTTAAGTTTAAAAAATTTGGCTCCCAAAAGAAATTTCAATCGTTGTACTATTGATATTTGGCTCTGTTGACTGAGTTTGCTGACCACTGACCTAGAGCTACGATGACTAAAGGTCAGAGTCTGTATCTTCTGAAGTTAGCTCCTTGGATTCTTATACAAATATGCTTTTTATCTACACGCTGCATACTAGTCAGAGTCAGCATCTGCAGAAACAATGTGGGAGAATGGTGGGTGGGTTGGCACAATCCGGTCACATGTGCAGCCCATGCAGTGGTGTGGCTCCAGCTAGGAGAGCCGTGCTTGCCATGAGGCTTTGCTGTCTCTGTTTTGATCGTCTAAATGTTGTTGTTGTTAATCCTCACCTGAGGATATTTTTCCAGTGATTTTTTTTTCTTTTTAGAGAGAGTAGAAGGCAGGGAGGGAGGGGGAGAGAGAAGAGAACATTGATGTGAGAGATCTACCTGTTGCCTACCACCCCCCACCTCCCCACGGGGGCTGGGAACAAACCTGCAACCCAGGTACATACCCTTGACTGAAGCTCGAACCTGAGACCCTTTGGTCTGCAGGCTGATGCTCTAACCATTGAGCAATGCCAGGCAGGATGATAGTCTTAACAATTATTAAGAAGGGCTCCCCAGTTTCTATTTTGTACGGCCCTACAAATTTCATAACTGGTCCTGATGTAGGCTCTGAACTTTACAGGTGCTTCACCTCACCCTGAGCAACTCTATTCAGGATATCCTCCCCTCAGGTTGACGATCATACTTCCCTCATGCCTCACTCTACACTGCTTTGGGAACTCATTGACGTTAATAATAATACGGCCTCTTCATCTGCGAATTCCTCACACACAGCAGGGCAGGTATCTTAAGCAATCACTTCTTTGTTGTATGAATAAATGAATGAGTCAACAAATGGCACATACAATGGCACATTTCTAAAATGAAAACATACTGTCTTGCACACCTCAGACATCCAAGAATAGCAGGTGTCACTTAAGCACAGAATGAAATTTGAGTGTTAAAGACTCTTCAGTTCATTAAATCAAATGACCAAATGCAGGGCATGGCCAGATAGTGGCATCAGAAATATGACAGCAGCACGGCTGGACATCAGTGAGACACAGCCCTGGCAGGTGGACGTTCCTACACGCGCTGCACTTGGAAAGTGCCCTCAGGAGGCCCAGCACTCCGTCCGCAGCATCTCTGGAGGGTGTGGCACAGGCTGGTCCCTGGAAAAGCAGGCCTCCGGGGGCTTGGGTTCAAGTCCCGGTTCTACAGCGTCATAGGTGGGGCCTTGAACAAGTCACGTGCTAGAGCACGCCTCCAGTCTCCCAAGACGTAGGCATGTTCACAGAACCAGCTCCTGAGGTCTTTGTGAGGATATCAGGAGACAAGCCCGTCAGGCCTTGGCAGTGGGCACGGTGCAGACTCTCCAACACGCCCTGCGTGTCTCAACCAGCATCTGCACTCCAGCGAGGGCCCGCGGTGAGCAGTACTTCCAACGGTGGCCGGGGCATGGCACCCCGTCCCACCTGCATCATCTTTATCCTCCTGAGGTGGCGTGATCGGAGAGCACCTGCCTGATGACCCCCCCGTTCCTGGTTAAATGCTAGGAGCAATGCCGACCTAGGTCCCTCCCTGAGCCCTGGCGGTGGACATGGCCCAGCAGTGCTGCGGGGACCGGCGAGGGAGTGGGGCTGGGGCAGTGGCTGGGAAGTTAGGGCTCACAGGCCGCGGGTGGGTGGAGATGGGGAGGACACGTCTTCTGCAGGGAAACGTGAGCCAAGACCCGAAGGCAAGAAGTGATCGGGCTGACTGCCAGGTGCGGGGAATAGATTTTAGTCCCAAACCAAGAGTGCATGAGCAGGACTTCACACAGGTCCGCGGTCCCTGACGGAAATACTTGTCTCAGAGAGCAAACACTGACAGCCACACTAAGAATACGGCAGAACACGCCCATAAAATGATGAACTAAGTTGTCTTTCTCTGTTCCAGTAGACACATTTGGAAACTGATTTATTCTTTTTCTTTTCATTCCCCACAGAGTTGCCACCCCGTTTGGAGGTTTTGAAAAAGCATCAAAAATGGTGAAGTTCAAGGTCCCAGATTTTGAGCTACTACTTCTAACAGATTCCAGGTTCATGGCCTTTGCCAACCCTCTTTCTGGCAGACGGTCCTTCAACAGGACTCCTAAGGGGTGGATATCCGAGAACATCCCCATAGTGATCACCACCGAGGCCCCTGAGGGCCCCGCCGTCCCCGAGTCCGAAGACCTCTGAGCAGACAGCCACGGCCTCGGAGCCTCCGCACACTCATGTCGCTTCTGCTATTCCACTCGCTGGCAAAGCCACTCACACTGCAGCAGCAGCAGTAACTCGGCCGTAACTTAGCATTGTTCCTTCCATGGCGTTTAACCTCAGCCTCAGAGCAAATACTAATAAACAACTCACAATCTTGTTTTAAACTTCCATCTCACTTGTGTTTACTCCTCCCTTTGTTTTTGCGTGGCCCAAATAACCCTCCCTTCGACGGGGGCAGCCCAGAAGATCAGACAAAAGTTCCAGCCTTTCTCCTTTGTTGTGTGAATAAATGAATGAGTCAACACCAGCTGGTCCCAAACGAAGCTTTTCAAGTGCACCTAGAATAAACACGCAGTCAACATATTCAGACGCATTCCATGCGGGATGTAAGGGTGAGGTGAGGGGTGTGGAGGAGGCAGAGCAAACATCGCGATGGGAGAGGCTGGGCTGGGCCTTCCTGGTGACCACGGACAGTAGCCTGTCTGGATGGAGTCTTTGCAGGAGACGGTCTGACCGTTCCTCTCAGGCCTTGTCTCCTTCCGCGTGCTCTGAATCACAGGGTAGTTATTCCAGACATTCTCCAGAGTTCAACCGGGTTGTTACACCGGCTTAACATTCCACCAAGGAGACGGAGACAGTGACTCAGGGAACGTCCTGCTACCTAGTTTTAAATGCCAAGGTTACCTGCAATTCAAGCTCCTCACACCCAATGCTGTGTGCCGATGAGGTTCAAGTTCATGTGCACATTTGTAGGAGTGTAAAAACACATGCAGGGCACACTACTATACACCTAAGCAGATGTGTATGCGAGAGGGAGAGAGAAATTTGAATTGGTATCTGTCTTTGATGAATCCTTGAATTCTGTTCAAATCCTTAAGCACTAGGGAGTATATCTATAAAACAAATAAAAACAAGCAACAGGAGTCTCAGCCAGCATGGCTCAGTGGTGGAGCATCGACCTATGAACCAGGGGTCAGGATTCACTTTGTGGTCAGGGCACAGGCCTGGGTTGGGGGCTGGATTCCCAGTGTGGGGCGTGTAGGAGGCAGCTGTTTCATGATTCTCTCTCATCCTTGATATTTCTCTCTCTCTTCCTTCTTCTCTGAAGTAAAAAAACAAACAAACAACAACAAAAAAAACAGAACACTAAGACCTCTGAAAATAATGTTGCGCACGCACATCCGCCATGAAATTTGTGAATACACGGGAATAGGAGACTCAAACTAACATACAGGTACAGACATGTCTTACACTAGGACTGAGGAAGCACAGCACTGGTAAGACATAGACACCAGTTCTTCCCGTTTGAATTCAGCAAAGATTTCTGTGTCAGACATGTGCCGAGATGGAGACTGACCCACCACAGGCAGCCACCGGAGATGAAGCTCAGGAGGTGGAGAGGGAGTGTGCACAGCAGAGCACGAGAATCTGTTCCCAATCTTTTTTATTTTATTTATTTCATTTCATTTCATTTCATTTTATTTTTTACAGAGAGGAAGAGAGGGATAGAGAGCCAGAAACATCAATGAGAGAGAAACATCAATCAGCTGCCTCCTGCACACCTCCTATTGGGATGCACCAGCCACAAAGGTACGTGCCCTTGACCAGAATCAAACCCGGGACCCTTCAGTCCGCAGGCTGACGCTCTATCCATTGAGCCACACTGGTTTCGGCGAGACTCTGGTTGTTTTAACCAGCCTTTTGCCTGGTAAGGGAATTTAAAAAAACTTAATCACGCAATCTCTAGAAATGACATCAATATATTATATTCATCCATATTGTCACTGGAATAATTTAAGTAATTGGTGTAATTTAAAACGTAACTTTATATCATTTTTATTTATGCTTTGGTGTTTATCCATTTTAAAGTGATTTGGCACCTGTGATAAACGCTAGGTATGAGGCTCACCATTTTTATGGTTCATTTTAAAGATAAAAATTACTCCTGTTCTATTAGGCATTTGCTGAAATGATTTTGTTTCCGTTGGCAGCGTGAAATGAGTTACTGTCGTTCATTGAGTTGGAATTTTATTGCCTGGTTTTCCCTACCACCACGTGAATCACCAGCCAATCCACCACCAACAGGACCAGCAATGAAATGGCAGCTGCAGAGCCGGGCCGGCGCCAGGGAGCAGCCTTTGAAAGGGAGAAGGGAAGCGCGTGTTTAAGATCAGGCGGAAAGTGAGGGACCACCCTCAGGGCACCACGCATTCCCCTTCCTGCGAGTGGCTGTCCATCGCTCAGCTGTCCGGCTCCTTTAGAAAGGCCAACACTTCACTCTACCCTGTTTCCCCGAAAATAAGACAGTGTCTTATATTGTTTTTTTCTCCCAATGTTGCGCTAGGTCTTATTTTCAGGGGATGTCTTATCTTTCCATGTGCTAGGTCTTATTTTCAGGGAAACACGGTAGTTGCTGCACAATTAAGATTTCTAAAGCATTTTGATTGGGTTTCCAGGGACCTGAGAGGCGACATCTTTCCGAGCCCGAGGACTACCACAGTCAGTTTAGAACAACAGAAGATGGGGTGGGTGGGGGGGGGACCATGAGAGGGGATCTGTGCCCCCACATAGTTCACGTGAAACGTGGATAAAGGAGTCAGCAGGGGAGAGACCGAGCGCAGGGTGGAAATACTGGGTGGGCTATTACACGCCGAACACCACAGTCACTGCTTCACACAGGCTCCTGGACACACACTTCAGCATTCTCCTCTCACAGTGAGCCTGTGAGGAAGGCATTCAAAATAAGCTCCATTTTACATAAGAAAACCGAGCCTCAGAGAACTCAGGGGATGGAGTCGCTTGATTCTGGCTCAAAATGGGAAGAGCTTGGCAAGTCTGACTGAAAAATGGGTAAGAACTCGTGTTCATCGCTTCTCTTTCAGAATCAAACTCAGCGCCAAACTATTTTATTACAACTAGACAAAACAAACAAAACAAAACACACAGAAAAACCCTCCATGGTCTTCACTGGGCAAATACAGTGCTAAACTGGGGCCTTCTCGGGTCACCCAAGGTCACCCGGGCGCTCTGACTCATGCCGCTCAGACGGTGCTGATGACCTAAGAGCACAGGCCTGGCGCGGCCTCAGACCCAGAGGCCAGCGGAAGGCTGCTCCGGGCTGCACAGCCTCCTGCCAGGGCTGATGGAGCCAGTGCTGGGGCAAAAGGGGGTGGGGTTGGGGGGCAGACAGGCACCACAGTGACACCCCAAGGCAATCACCCAGCTTGAGCGCGCACCCCAAACACCCCTTTAAGCGAAGGTGTTGTCTCCTTTCAAAGCTTTAGAGGAAGCTCTCCCCACCCCCACTGTCCTGTCCAAGGCGCTGCTGGCCCCGAAGTGACATTTCCTCTCTGACTTAGCCAAGGTCACCTGGCGACTTCTCCAACCAGCACGCCAATGAACCAGAACCAAGCTGGGAAAAACAGCCCTCTTGGCGTGCAACCCTCCCCTCCCTTCATCAGACTCCAGTATTCCTCCAGACTCTGATGATCTCACTTTCCATTCTCTAATATTCCAAAGAACTTGATAATAAAACATAACTAATTATTGGTTGTTACAAGATCAAGTGCAAATATGGGCAATTGTCTTTCAGTGGAAAGGACCATTCGCTGCATCCATTTAAAATTCTGCGTTCTCTGACAGGACACATTTATAATCGCCGCGCAGCCTGGACGGGAGGGAGCCAGTTCCTCTCACAAAGGCCGCGTGGAGCCCGGTGCCCGGGGCGAGAGCGTGGAAGGAACACGGTGAACTTTCCAGCCGGGCACGCTGATTAATTCTGGAATTTCCTCGCTGCGCTGCTGATGCAAGATAAAGCCTGCATGACATCACCTGGTCTGGCCGCAGCCGCTTCTCACGGAGAGAGAGGAGGACAGTGCTGCTCCGAGCACCCCTCTCTTCCTCCTCCTCCACAGGCTGCCCTATGCAGGAGGGGCAGCGCCTTCCTGGGGGAGGCGGGCGAGGGCCAGGCTTTTGCCAGAAGAGCAGGGGCCTAGTCCCCACTCACCAACCACAGGCTTCACCGATGCACCCGAGGGTTTGGGTTTGCAGAAACGATGCCTTGCCTCGGTTTCAGTGGCTGAGGCTGCAGTGTGATTAGGGAAGTGAAGGGGTGTGTCCTCATTCAATTCCTTCAACAGGAGAGCTAGCTCTCCGCCTCATAGGAGCTCTCCTAGCTTCTCGGCACAGCGGGGTTCAGGGGTGAGGTTCGGTGCCCTGGGCAAAGGGACGGGGAGCCAGCTGCTTCTAAGGGGTGACAGTTTAGGTCCAAAAAGAATGTGCTTGCTATTCAGTCCTGTGTGACAGCTGGAAGCACATTTCAATGACAGCTTACGCAGTGGCCGGGATAGAGACGGTTCAGGAAACAGGACCGGAAAAGTTAGGAGAAAAAAAAAGAGCAATTCAATGTCATGCCCTATTTTAAAACTGCTGAGGGGAGGATTGGTTTGGAAGCTGCAGCGCCAGCAAAATACGTAAATGCACAAGGCCCGGGTGCGGGGCGCCAGAAGCAGGCTGAGAGACACTGCCCGCCGTGCACAGCGCTCCGCTGCGCTCCGGCCCCTGGCCTTGCCCCTCGGAAGCTGTTCTGTTCACGTACGTGCAATCTGCTTGATGGGAGCCGTCTCCCAAATAGATATTCTCGTTACACTTTACCAAAACTCACCTGCAGCAAGTGCCAGCTACTACTGATCTGCCGCAAATCACGGATATTTTCTTAAGCAATGTACTTCCCCCTAAAAGTCAGAGTTTTCTTCAGCTCTATTGAGTGGCTCACAGGCCATCGCGGCCTGAAACCTTCTCTGGCCGGCGTTATTGAAGAGACCACACTGCTGTGTTTTTCTCTACAGCACTCCTGACTCCCTAACCTCTGAGAAGCAGATGCCAAGATGGGTCAAACCTGCAAAGATTATATTGGGAAAGCTGCCCACAGGAGAGAAAGTGGGGGAGAATCCAGAGACCTCCTGAGGGTGTGTTCTAGACATAGACCTGTTCTAGTCATGGGTGTGTCGGAGGCCTGAGCATGTTCTAGACATGGACATATTCTAGACATAGATGTGTTCTAGACACAGGCACCTTTAAGAAGTAGGCATGTTCTACACGTGTTCTAGACACAGGCATGTTCTAGAAGTAGACATGTTCTAGACATGGGTGTGTTCTAGACACTGTGTGTTCTAGAAGTAGGCAGGTTCTAGTCTGCTGTGCAGTCCCAGGAAGATTTGTCAAGGCCGCTGGGGGGTCCTGGAGCCCATCAGCTGTAGGATGGGTCCTGTGTTTTCCAGAATCAGGCCTGTCCCAGTGAGTCTGTGGCTGGGTGCTGGAAGCAAATTCCAGTAATTAGCATAATAAATGTGAGGAGTTCATCAGAAAGCTAATGGACAGCTTCAGCAGGGCTGAAAATCTGCATATATTATTGGCTGCTGCTGGAACAGCGGTCGGCAAACTCACCAGCCAAATATCAACAGTACAAGGATTAAAATTTATTTTGAGAGCCACATTTTTAAAACTTATATTTCTTCTAACGCCTGTTCTTCAAAATAGACTCTTCCAGGCCATGGTATTTTGTGGAAGAGCCACAATCAAGGGGCTAAAGAGCCGCATGTGGCTCAGGAGCAGCAGTTTGCCAACCACCGGCCTCAACCTGATAATCTTTTTCTGTTTGCCAGGCCTTACCTTTGATATGTATATCTGCTTTGCTAGAGGGGAAAATGTGTGAATAAAAAGCCCTGGGTGCTGGGACTGGAAGAACTTAGTCACTGGAACTAAGCTTCCTCCGGCTCCTCCAAATGCCTTCCAAATTCATACTTCACGTCTAGTTTATTTCATTTACTCGCAGCCCCTTCTCCAGATTGAGAACGACCCCGGCAGCTGGGAGCAGACCGCGAAGGGCAGCCTCCGCCGGAATGTCACAGAGGCCGTCCCAGTGCACAGAACTGGGCCTGGGTCACATACTAGCTGACCTGCTTCTGGGCTATTGGCCGCCACACAGAATCCTGGGGTTTACTCCCCTATCGCTTATCTCCCCTGCCAGAATGAATGCCCCCAGGGCAGGGACGTGCCTTTCTATTAACTGCCAAATCTCAAACACTTGTTAAGTAAATAAATGTATCTGAGTTACGGGGAGCATACTAGTATCTACCTTAAAAATATTGCATTCTAAAATGCATTACCCAATATGTGGCAAGGGCTTGGTAAACGTTACTGTTATTAGCAACATAAAAAATGAACAAAGAAGGTGAAGGGATTAGCTAGAGATCATATTCGCACAGCCCTTCATGGCCTGCTCCCAGCCAGAGACCAACCTTGGCAGTGACATTAGGGCAGACCTGTTTCTGGAAAATGTAGGACCCCTCCTGCAGCTGACTGGGCTCCAGCATCCCGCAGCAGCCTTGACGAATGTTCCCTGGACTGACCCTGCCTTAAACTGCACCACTCCGCAGGTCAGAGTCCAACACAGATCTCCCTGGGCTAACTGCAAGGTTAAGATGACCAGACATACAGATTTTGGAAAGAATCGAGACTTTTTTAAAAAGCCATGGGACGCGGGACAAATTGTTAAAAATCAGGACTGTCCCGACAAAAGCGGGACGTCTGGTCACCTTACTCAAGGTGCCGCAGGCCTGCACTTCCTTCTGGGGCTGGAGGGGAGAATCCGTTTCCTTGCTCCTTTGTATTAATGGCCAATTCAGTCCTGTGGCCGTAGACTGCCCTCACCTGTTCCCTGCTGGCTGTCAGCTGACGGCCATTCCAGTTTCCAGAGTCCAGCCATTCATCCACTCATGGCTCCCTTTCGCCATCTTCAGAGCCAGAAACGGCTGGTCAAGTCCCACTCCTGCTTTGACTCTCTCCTGCCTCCTATGTCCCATCTCTGTGACTGCAGCCGGGAAAGGCTTTCCACATCTAAGGGCTCCGGTTACTACATGTGAACCCACATGGACAGTACAGGACAATTTCCTTATTTTAACGTCAGCAGAATCCCAGTAGGAAGTGTGCAGGAGGCAGCCAATCAATATTTCTCTCTCACAACAATGTTTCTCTCCTCCTTCCTTTCTTTCTCTCATTTTCCCTCCTCCTTTCCTCTTCCAAGTATCAGTCCAGTAGTGCAGCCGTGGAGATGTAGGATGGAGTTGTGCACTGATTTAAGAAAAGCATGCAGGGCTCCGGCAAAGGAGGGCAGAGTGGACGAGGGCTGCATGAGGAGAGGCTGGGTGAGAGCAGAGAGGACAACCCTTGAAATCCCTGCGCTGAGTCATCCCCCATTCGGCAGAAACCATCTTTCTCACTTAGAGCTTCTCCCATGAATCTCAAGCTTACTTTCAAAACTCAGTTCCTGCCCAGCCAGCGTGGTTCAGGAGTTGAGTGATGACCTATGAGCCAGGAGGTCACAGTTTGATTCCTGGTCAGGACACATGCCAAGGTTGCTGGCTCCATTCTACTGTGCAAGAGGCAGTTGATCAATGAATAATTCTCTCTCATCATTGATGTTTCTCTCTCTCTCTTCCTCTCTGAAATCAATAAAAAAATAATTTAAAATAAAATTAAAATACTCAGTTTCTAATTTCCCTTTTACGTTACTTCTCCCTGCATGCAAAACTGGGCTGCTAAAGATTCTACAGCACAGCAGATGTGCCTCAGGTCCCGCCTCCTGGGCAGGGCTCGTGCGGCCACACCGCACACCGGGCTCAGAAGCTCTCTGGGAGCGTGAAGTCAAAGAGACTGCATTTACTTATAAGCGTATTCTTCAGTTCTTCTTCTTTTTTTATAAATTTATTGGAAACATGGATGAGAGAGAAACATCGAGCAGCTGCCTTATGGACACTCCCTACTGGGGATGTGCCTGCAACCAAGGTACATGCCCTTGACGGAATTGAACCCGGAACCCTTGAGTCTGCAGTCTGACATTCTTTCCACTGAGCCACACCGGTTAGGGCTTCAGTGGTTCTGATACATGGAAAGAGGGGTGAACATGGTGTGTGATTCATTACAGTAAGCTTCTTTACAAACGCATCAAAATCTGTTAGGAACATAAGAAACTCACAATGCCACAGATTGATGGTGTGTTCCCCTAAAACGGGCACACTGAAACCCTAACTCCCAATGTGATGGTGTTCGGAGGTGAAGCTTTTGGGAGACGATGAGGTCTTGAGGGTGGAGGATGGGGCCCTCATCATGGGATTAGTGCCCTCCTTGCCTCTCCTCCCTCCCCGCCCCTGCCCCTGCACAGGACACAGACAGCAGCCCTCTGAACCCACAGCAGCCCCCACCAGACAGGAATCTGTCAGGGTCTTGATCTTGGACTTCCCAGCGTCCAGACTGTGAGAAATGAATATCTGTTGTTTACAGTGGCCTGTACAGTCTAAGATGCCTAGAACACTAACATTACCATGGTGCCAGATGCATTTACATATGCATGCATCAATTATGGTTAATATCATAATTACCGACTGCATCAGACCATCTCATTTGTATTATCCATACCCTGATGTTGACTTAACTGGCCCTGTCAGCGGAGTCAGAGAATATTAATATTTTGGATATAATAATAATAATAATAAGCAAAGAATGGGTTACTATCTTGTCCAATATAACTCACTAATACTATGTTAATAGCATAACGAAATACTCTCTTTGGCTTAAATAACCATTTGCTTTGAATTGAAGAATTTTAGAATTAGACACTATTTTAAGATATTTTACATCAATTCCTTTTCACAGACGGGAATTGAAAGCTAAGAAACCAGCCCCATCTCACACTGCACGGCTCACGTGAGGACCAGGAACTCGCTTCTGGTCTAACGCACCCCCCACCCCCCACCCCCCACTCTCTTGTTCTGGTGCTGCCTCGGCCACACAGTCCCCCATGGCCATGCTCCACACATCCTCTGCGGACACGCAGGACGTGGTTTCGTACTGATGATCGTCTGTCTGGATACAGCCTCATGTGTGTTAACCACAGAGAATGAAGACCGAAGAAGAGGCGATGTTAGCACCACGAGGTGCCCTTTTCACAATGCCAGAAGTCTGACTTCCATCCGCGAAAACTGTTCATGGGAAAACCTCACACGGGGTTCCAGGGGAAGGGAGCAAATTCCCACAGGGCACTGAAGAGTGAGCGTGTCCTTCCTCGAAAAACCTTCTGCTCTGAGTCTCAAACCCTAGTTGTGTTCTGCTAAGGGGTCTAGAAAGCAGCTCAGTCGGGTGTGATGCCGCTTTTCAAATGAGGAAAATAAAGTAAAATAAAATATCAGAGCACACCTCTCACAATAGCAGAGTTGTTTCATGAACTTTTTCTCATTTTTTATTAAGGTATTATATGTGTACATATCTTACCATTGCCCCCTGTTTCATAAACTTTTGATTTGTTTTATGTATACCATGTGAGCAAGATCAAAATGTAAAAGATGCTGCTTGGCTGAAAGCTGCTGTTGCTAGTGGAAAGTTCGAGTGTTAGCAGTGTTGTAGGGACTGAAACGGCTTCTCTCCATCCCATTAAAACTACTATGCCCAATTCGAGGAGAAGGAGCATTCTCCTGAATTGGAATTTGAAACAGTGGGACAAAACTTGTAAAAACCATTTAACCTGAAAACTTTGACTTTAAAATGAACAATGAGGCTCTCACATACAATCCAGGGATACTGTTTGCCAAGAGTTAATTGTTGTTTATTTTTCCGGTGCAATTTCGGGCTTAGGGCTTGTTTCATGGATGAGAGAAGAAAGGCTTGAGCACTCACAGGTCAGCGTAAGAAATAAACTCATCGCTCCGGAATGTAGTTCTTTGAAGTCCTTCTATCCCTGAGACCTTCCAGCAATTTTATTACTCTATCAAAAACGAGCGGTGCAGAGTGCGAAGTGAATTTCAACAAGGAAGTTCAACTTGGAAACACTGGTGCCCTGAATACTTCTGTCCCCTTTACAAAGACATGCTCTCTGGGCAGCTTCCTCTGCTGGGTTCAGCCCTTAGGCCAATAGCTGTGAGCAAAGGACAAGGTGTTATTTTCCTATTTCCAAAGAGCTGCTTCCAAAACAAGCCAGTGGGAGAGGTATGTGGGTGGGTGAGTGTGAGTGTGTGTGTGTGTGTGTGTGTGTGTGTGTGTGTGAGTGAATGTATGCACTTATCACAGAGGCTTAGCCTGGTCAGGTTCCCGAGGGGTGAGAAAACACATCTGGTAAATTTCCAAACTCGTTTGTGGGTTTCCAGTAAGAGAACACCTGGACATCTCTGTTCAGAAAGAAGCGGTCTCAGTCTGACTTCTCCCACATCCCCTCCCCTGGACTTTCAGAGGGCACCCAGGTGCCAAAACTCAAATACAAGAAAGATGTCACTATGCTTGAAACAACACCATCTCCCATGAAACTTCCGAGTTTATTTGACAGCAGGCCCTTGTGAGGGTTTAGGACTGGCCCACAGTCCTGGCTTACTGTGTGCAGCATGAGCTTGGGTAAGTCTGCCTCCATGAACTTAACTTTGCTTTTCCACACAGTGAGAGATCTAAAACTAGTCTCTCAGATCTTTCCCATTGCTATGATCTAACAATTTTTTATATATAAAACTAGAGGCCCAGTGCACAAAATTTGTGCATGGGGATGTCCCTCAGCCCAGCCTGCACCCTCTCACAGTCCAAGAGCCCTCAGGGGCAGGAGGCGACCTGACAATCAGAGGAAAGTGATGCCCCCATTACACCTCTTCTGCTGCCACTGCTGGCAGTGCAAGCCTTGGCCAGCCCTGGTTACCAGAGCCTCAGGTGGCCCTGGACAACTGGGAACCCTCAATCCATGACATGCCTGCACCTAGGGCCGGCCCTGGGCAGTGGTGCAGCCAACATCTGAGGCTTTCCTGCTCCTCGGGCTGGTCCTAGGTGGCTGCAGGGACTAGGGGACTCTGGAGGCAGGCACGTAGAGGGACCGGACCCACCTGGGGGCAGACCCAGCCGTGCTGTGCACCTGCCACCTTGGTGGGGCTGAGGGGACTGGGCACCACCATCTTTTGGCTGTGGACCCCACCATCTTTGAAGGTATGGCAGTCAATTGGCATACTCCCTCCTTATTGGCTGTGGACACCACCATATTTGTGAGGGTGTTGATTGATGGTCAATTAGCACATTCCCTCAGGATATGCTATAAAATGTGTTTTATAAATGGAGATATTTATGCACAAAAATCCAAGGGAATGGCTTAATGACAAACTCTCTGGATGTTTCAGTTCTGTGTTTTAGTGGAAGCCATACTGCCTTACTCATTTCTGCTAAGGGAGCCGCCACGGCCGTCACCAGGCAGGTTCCTGCTGCCTGCCGTGTGCTGGGCCCTCGCGGCACTGTCCTAAGAGAAGGATGTCATATAGCTAAGTGGTACTGCCTAGGACCGTTTGGGAAGGTAAGTAAAACAGTCTGCATGAGGCACCTGGTTTCTGACGCACATTTTGGAGTGAAATAAAGACTGGGAGCAGAAGTGCAGGGGCCTTGTCCCCAGTGGTTATTTAATGAGCATTTAGAAGTCTGTCATACAACCCTTCCATTTCTGGATCAGGGAAGAGCGGTTAGAGGAGCTGGAGTCACCAGCCAGCAGCCAGGCAGCTACCTGGTAAGACGCCCACAGTCTCTCCAGCGTCCTATGGCATCAGGCTGCTGTTGAACACATGTGACCCCACAGCTGTCCCTTTCATCCTTCCTCCTGGGCTACAAACACTGCCAGAAAGAAGTTAAAACCACAGAGGGCTGGCAACCCTACCAGTCCTGGGGACCAGTTGGGACCGGCGGCAGCATCCAGAAGAGGAGACCGCAGTTAGGAGAAGCTAATAGCCGCTCGGGGCCATGCAGAATCTAAGTGGCAAGGCCAGGGGGTCTGGAGGCGTGTTCTCACAGCGCCATGCTGCCCTGGGACATGGTCTCTTGGCTTTCTAAACAGTTTTAATGCTCCCCCGGGTGGAAGTGGACTCCAGCTCAAGCTGAGTGTCAGGAGCCCAGCCTTCTTCGACATCTGAAGCCAAAGAAGACCCTAACTTGGCGACACAAACTCCAGGCAGAGCAGTGAACCGGTGCAATATGGTTAAAACTTCAGTATCTGCCCGGCCGGCGTGGCTCAGTGGTTGAGTGTGACCTATGAACCAGGAGGTCACAGCTCGATTCCTGGTTAGGGCACATGCCCAGGTTGTGGGCTCAATCCCAAACAGGGGGTGTGCAAGAGGCAGCCGATCAATGATTCTCTTATCGTTGATGCTTCTATCTCTCTCTCCTTCTCTTTCTTTCATCAGTAAAAATATGTTAAAAAACAACAAAAAACCTTCAAGATCTAATAGGGTGCTTTAAAGAAAAGAACCAGAGGACGAGGTTGCTTGTGTTCTGAGGCAGTATAAACATTTGTGTCTAAAAAACCAACAGCATTAAGATTTGGGGAACCTGGCTTAAAATAAATTCACACAAAAACAAACAAACAATAAAAATCCAGTATTCTGAACATAAACTTCCATTGGCTAACTAAGTGACATAGTTGCAAAACAAGTTAAAACAATCTTAAACTGTCCCGATAAAAACACCCAGAGCGGGTGTAATTCCCCCAAAGCATGAGCCTGGCGGTTGTAAAATCCTCCCTTTATTTCTGGACACCACATTTTTGTCTGTACGCACTGATAAGAGCCTGCTGAGACAGAGGCCAGGCCCACGCGGGGGAAGGCAGTGTGTGAGGTGATGACAGAAAAAGGCCTTCCTGTTACTGATAACTCCAATGTCACAGTCACTGCTGATCTCGGTTCAGAGCCAAACCGGGTGAAGCCACAGGCTCATGCGTATGTCTGTCCTTTTGATTTCGTTCTCTTCATTCCAGTTGCATTTTTTTAAAATATATATTTTATTGATTTTTTACAGAGAGGAAGGGAGAGAGCTAGAGAGCTAGAAACGTCGATGAGAGAGAAACATTGACCAGCTGCCTCCTGCACGCCCCCCACTGGGGATGTGCCTGCAACCAACGTACATGCCCCTGACCGGAATCGAACCCAGGACCTTTCAGTCCGCAGACCGACGCTCTACCACTGAGCCAAACCGGTTTCGGCTCCACTTGCATTTTAATTGCCCGATTAAATCGGAGCTCTGATTCCCTCTCTGATTAATAGTTGACCACTGTTTTCTAGTGTATGCTAGAATTCGCTTTGTTTCCCTTTACTTTGTTAAAAATGTCCTTTAAGTCCTTTGTAGGATGAGGTGAACCTGGTTTGATTAGTTTAATATTTACCAGGCCTTCGACAATTGAGAGAACTGAGTGTTTGTAGCTGGAAAGCACGGGAGATGTTTTCCAAGCTGAAGCGTCTCACAGGAAAGAGGACAGGTAGAGATTTCTGTGGCCACAAAGCGCAGAAGTGAGGCAGCCTGTGGACATGACGGAGGTGGTGAAGCTCGCTGTGGTGAACATTTCGGAAGCGCTGAGGCAGTCTTACAGAGGAATAGGCGGCCCTGGAACTTCAGCGTCTCCGGCCCTGTCACTACGTTTGCACAGAAGGCGGGGACGGCCCATCAGGGTGGGAGGCCGGGCCAGAGGGCGCCTGAAGCCTCCCTCCCGGGTCTCTGAGGTTGTCGTAAGCACACACCACCGCGAGGAAGACCATATGTAGGTCTGAGAGCACCACGTTATCATCGGCAACAGCAGCCATCCTCAGAGCAGCAGTCATGGCCGTAATGACACAGCGCAGGCGTGACAGCTGCTTTCATCTGGGCCTTGTCAGAGGACATCGGTGTAAGTGTTACTTCTCACCCCACTCGGCAGATAAGACAATTGGAAGGTTTCCACGTGAAATAACACAGGAGGGCAATGAAATCGCCTAAGCTGACAGGAAGTCAGCAAAAATTACGGAGTCCACTAGTTCAACCACTAACTGTGGTTAACTAGCAAATGCGGGCTGGTCAGTAAGACGCCACAGACACTGCATTTGATCTCCTGAGGTGTGACAAGATGTCACGCTGCTAAGTGTGGAGGGGTCCAGTCAACACTCACCTCTGGATCCCCCATTTCCTAAGAGGATGCAGGATCCTCCAGGCTTTCTCCTTCCCACATCTGCCTGTCTCTTCCCACCCAGCTCCTCCCTGGCAAGGCCCAGCGCCTCAGCAGCTCGGAGCTCGCCTCTTCACAGCTTTGCAGAGAAAAAAGGGATCTTTCCTACAAATTCTAATGTGAAAACTCCTGGGAGAGGACGCTAAGCAGCCTGAGTCACTCCTCCCCAGGGCCGTGGCCAGAAGAGGCAGAGATCCCCTGGCGTGATGCCCACGCCGTGGTGAAGGGCCCAGCGCTGTTACTGAGAGCAGGAGACAAAGCAACCCGCGTCCCCCACAGACGTTTTCTCCATGGACCTGTACGTGAGGCACGTTTCCAAAGACATTCTTAGCGGCTCCATCAGAAGTCTACATAATCAATAATTATAATTAGGTCTTCGAACTTTCTAAGAGATTACTTAATAAAAAGATTATAACCTGCCCTAGCCAGAGTGGCTCAGTGGGTAAAGCGTCGGCCTGTGGACCAAAGGGTCCCGGGTTCAATTCTGCTCAAGGGCACGCACCTCCGTTGCAGGATCCTACCGGCCGGGCCCTGGTCAGGTCTCGTGCGGGAGGCAACCCATTGCTGTGTCTCTCTCACATCGATGTTTCTCTCAATTTTTCCCCCCCTCTTCCATTCTCCCCAAAAAATCAATGGGAAAATATTCTCAGGTGAGGGTTAACAAAATAAATAGCTAAATAAATAAAATTGTAGTTTTATCTCATTTTGGGGTGCTTTTCTCCCTTACCTTCTTTCCCTTCTGACCGATTTGATCAGTTCACAGACAGCAGTTACTTTGCCCATAACGTGGCTGTACTTCCGGTTCCAACTGTGAGAAGCTACTCGGGGTGTATTCAGAGGGCATCTGAGTTCCAACAGTGACCAGCAGCCTTCCAGGGTCCCCACCCTCTTCTCTTGGTGACTGTGCATCTCAGTTGGACAGGAAAAAAAGAAATAGGTCTTATTGTCACATTTCCATTCCGTGACTTATTGCCGGTGCTAACTCAGTGTTGAACAACTCTGCCCACGCCTATCCCAGGCCACAGTGTCAGACTTCACAGACAGAAGGACCAAGGGAGACAGGCCTTCGAGGGGTTTTCTCCCTAAACACTGAGTAAGTTGGTAGGCAAGCAGGCCAAAAAGCAAGCACAACAGTCCCAGGCTGTGATAAGCATGAGGGCACCCGCGGTCCACAGGAAGTCCAGGACGGCTCTCCTCAGAAGATGAAGCTAAGCCTGGGATGGAGGATGGCAAGGAGCCGCCACTGGAGATGCAGGGAAGGGTGCTGTCAGCCAACTTCACTGCTCACACCTCAGCCCACAGAATCCTGGGTGGGCACTGTCTGTCCATTGCAGCAGGGGCTTCTCCCACTGCATACCCGTAGCGATGCCCTCCCTACCCCGAAATGTGTTTCTGGCCATTGCCAAAGGTCCCCTGAGAGCCCTACCCCCTGGATACCCCCCACTCCCACCTGAGAGCCACTGCTGTGGACACAGGGAATTAAGAATGCGAAGCTTCAGACAGTATGAGACACTGTTAGGGAGCTAGGACACATCATTCCGGGTCCACAGGCCTTGGCAGGAATTTGGATTTTATTTCATATAAACGGCAAGTCATTGAACACGTTTAAGTCGGGGAGTATCATGTCTATATTCAAAACAGACTCCCTGGGCTCCTGTGTGCGAAATGGGTTTAAACCAGCGAGGATGAGCGAGCTCTCGGGCCGCCTGGGAGGAGGCTGAAGAGCAGCCAGCGCCCGGGGCCAAGGCAGGAGACCTCGCAGCCCCGGGCTGACGCGGAGGGAGTGGTGGCCGGTGACGGCCCTGTTCCGGTGACCTCATTACCAAGTCACCGCCTGGAGACTTTTCTGGAATCGTTCTGTTTAGCTCATCTTCTTGCTCAGCCATGATTTCCCCTACAAACCTTCTGTGTACAATCCCACAGTAATCATCTTGTCCAAGAACACACAGAGGCTTCCTGCGGCCGCCCCCCGCCGGCCTTGTTTATTCCTGTTTCTGAAAGTTTGCTCTTGAAGGAGCCCCGTCTCTTCCCTAATGCCCTCAGCACAACCACCGTGACCCCGCAGGCCGAGGCCTGCGTGTGCTCCCCACAGAAGCTCCCCCACCCTGCCCCCCAACAATTTTGTCCCACACAGATGTCTCTCTTCTCCAAAGAGATCAATGAAACTCGTAATCTTTCACGCCATCGCTGAGCACGTACTCGCTCAGCATCAATGCCGGCTCTGCGCTGAGCCTGGAAATAAAACAGCGCAGAAGCGTGGTCTCTGCCCCGGGACCGCAGCCAGTGAGGAAGTAACACTTGTCAGCAGCAGTGTGGCTGGTACCTGAACCGGAGTCCGCCATTCAGCCGCTGCTCCTCCCGCCGGGCTGCTCCAGCCCTCCCGGCTCCGTCCTGGCTCCGTCCTGGCTCGCCGCGCCCTGAGCTGGGGATCACCTCCCGGGATTACAGCACCCCAGCGCCTCAGGGTGGAGCACACTGCACCTGCGCCATCAGCGAGAGGGTGGGGCCAGCCACAGGCGGCACATTTCCCCTCGTCTGAGTTTCCTCACGCCTGTAACAGGTGTGTCCGTGTGACGGTGCGGGTGGTGGCTCTGGCTATGCCTCAGCTGAACAGTGAGGGGGTCCTTTTTAGAAATCCTCATCAGAGGATATTTTTTTCCCATTGCTTTTTTCAGAAAGAGTGGAAGGGAGGGAGATGGGAGATTGAGAGAGAACCACTGATGTGAGAGACACATCGACTGGGGGCAGGGAGTGAACCTGAAACCCTCGTATGTGCCCTTAACAGGGAATCGAACCCATGACCCTTTGGTTCGTGGGCCGACGCTCTAAACACTGAGCACACCAGCCATGGCATTAGGTGGTCTTTGGCATGCCAAGCCCACCCCCTTGTATGATCTTATGCAAGTGTGATATACAGAGATCCTTCTTCGTAAATTTGGGCCCATCCAGAAATAACTATTGCATCAAACCACCAAACACACCCGCCCCATCAAGGACAAATAGCAATTCTCAGAGGCAATACATTCAAAATCTATTTTGTGAAGTCCTAACTACAATGTTTTCTGGGACCCTAGCGGTTTGGAATGTCACAACATAGGTTTCAAATGCATTTTAAAATGCCTGTTTCTGTCCTAATATGCAGGACAATTTTCCTTTTCTCCATGTTTGCTTCAGATTCACCTCTTGACACTGAACTTGTGACCTATTACACATCCATCATTTAAAACCCAATACTTAGACATGCCAAGAACTGGCAGGAGGTTTGAAATGATGATTAAAAAAGTGTACAGTCAGGGTTTAGTCAAACTGCTGAGCAGGGTGGACTGTGTGGGCATTCTTTTGCAATCCCCCAGTGAGGACGGCAAAAAGGATGAGTCCATGGAGCCACAGTTCAAATTATTTTTTCAAGAGTGGAGGTGGGGGGTGCTCCGTCATTTATGCTTGCACAGAGATATTTATAGTACAATATCGATGTTATAATAGAGGAAAGGAGGGCAAGTCTGTCTCAGAAAGTTATGAGAAGATCCATGGAGGAGACAGGGATTGGACTGAGCCCCGGAGGGTCCCGAGGGAACTGCCCTGGACCGAAAAAGAGCCAGGAGTGAGGAGCAAGGAAAAGGAGGAGGCCATGAGGGACTCTGCAGGTGACGGGGCGCCCGGCACAACTTTGGCAGAGGAATCTGATGGTCATATTTTCATGCTAGATTATTGGTAGCATGGAGGTCGGGCAGGAGTGGGACTGACTAGAGGCTATTGCGATGGTCCCAGGGCAGTGAGTCAGGAGAGAGGATGACTACTTGATAGACTAAGAAGGGAGAGTGCAGGTTTAAGATGGGCGGGTGCGACAGATGATAAGAGCCAACAGAACTGGATAACAGGCTAGAGGGAATAGGAAACGCAACTGAGAGAACTTGTGGATTTCTGACTTTGCCAACTGGGTGCCAGTATCTGAAACAGGGAATGAAAATGGGCTTGGTTCCAGGCGGGTGGGGAGAGAGGCTGCAGCAGAGTAGGAAATAAATGGTAGGTGCCTGAGTCAAGGTGGGGCGTACTGAAGGCACCTGGGTGTGGTCCGAAGGAAGATGCTCTTGCTTAGAGAGGGTGCTCGAGGGAGGAGCATTAATCACGCATCAGCCAGGTAGTCCCAGAACCAGGAGACGGGCACCGGGGAAGCCCAGAGTTCGGGGTGTTATTATTATTGTTGTTGTTGTTGTTGTTTTTAAAGCGTAGTTTTATTCTTCTTCAGATTTACATTTCTTGAAGGCAAGAACCATGTCTTAAATTTCACTGAATTTCCTTCAGTGCCTAATGCAGTAAAGTGAACACAGTAAGTGCTCAAGGAATTCTCAATTCAGTTCGACGCACTGTTAGCCCCAACATCCTATTTCCTCAAATAAACTTGGCTTTACCTAGAGTTTACCTTCCTCAGTGCCTGCCTGCCCCACTTTGGAATGAGCTCCAAAACCATTCTCCACTTACCTAGGCATCGGTCATGCTCCAGACGACCGTGGGTTGTGAGTTTTTTTTCTTACTGCTATTCCTAAGAAACGATTTATTACGAAATCAGCTTTAGCATAATTCCCAAGAAGCAAGCAGCGTGTAATGGAAACCCTGTTGGAAAGCAGGGTAAGGAGGCGGCCAGTTTTCTAACCACAATTCACTAACCATTAACCGGGTCAGCCGGCCTGGGAAAGCTTCAATTTACTATCAGCCACAAAAGCCGGCCGGGGTACACACCCTGCACCGGGACCGCTCGCCGCCGCAGCCGGGGGCAGCGCACCTGCACGGGGTCCGGGGCGGGCCGCGCGGCTCCCAGGCCACCCGGGCCCGGAGCCCCGCGCTGGGCACCCGCTCCCGGAGCTCAGGACGCTCCGGCGGACCCCTGCGAACCCCGAGGAGTGACCCGCACCGACCGCCCCCTCCCGCGCCCGCCCCGCACCGCCCATCCCACCTGTGGCCACCCAGCCCGGCCGCGAGCCCGCGCTCGCCTCCCGAAGAGGCTCCGACCTCGGCTCTCGCGGGATCTCGCGCCCCTTGAACCCCCGCGGGAATACCGCCCCGCGAGTCCGACCCAGGAACTCGGGGCGGGGCGGGGCCGCCGGGGAGCGCGGGGCGGGGCCAGCCCGGGGGCGGGGCAGCGCGGCCGAGGGGCGGGGCCGCCGGGACCTGTTGATCGCAGGTGTCCCGGGGCCGCGCCGGGCGCCGCGTGTGCGCATGCTCCGTGCGCAGGGTCGCGCCCCGGGCGGCGGAGTGCGGGCGCCGGGGCTCCAGTTCCGCGCGCGGCGGCGGAGGCGGCGGCCGGCGTGTGAGCCCGTGCGCGCGGCGCGTTCGGCGCTGGCCGTCGGGAGGGCGCCCCGCGGAGAGGAAGGGCCGGCGCAGGTGAGTCCCCGGGACGTGCCTCCGGACGGAGACCCGGCGACCTGTGACCCGCGGGCCGGACGGGGACTCGGGGCTCCAGCCGAGCCCTGTCCGGCCCGCGCCGGGCTCGGGGTTCCTCCGGCCGGAGGCGGCGGCGGCGCTGCAGGGGCGGGCGAGCGGCGGGGGACCGGTCCGCGGGGCCGGGCGCCGTCTCTGCCCGGCCCGGCCTCACGGGGCCCGCGGCGAGGGGCCCGCGGCCGCAGGTGCGGGTCCCCGGGCTGCGAGCGGCTGGCGGCGGCCACTCCCGTTAACGTTCCCTCCGGACGGCCCCGGGCGCCGGCCGCAGCCGCAGACGCGGGGAGGCGCCCGCGCAGGTGCGGAGCCCGGAGCCAGGGTGTCCACCGGGAGGTCTGAGGAGGCTGCACAGGCACCGCGGGGCCGGCCTGCCCCAGCCTCCAGCCGCGGCCAAAGCCGCTTTCTGGGGAAACACCAGTTGTGCGGGGCGGGGGCCGCCGGGAGCGCTCGGGCTGCGGTTTGCGGGAGGGTCTTTGCGGAGGGGCTGGCCCGCGGCCCGTCTGGCCTCCAGGGGAAAGCACCGCGATTCCCAGCGTTTAAAAGGGGTGGCAAGTGCTTACACAGACTGCACTCGGCCGAATTGATACTTGTTAGTCTTATTTTCCTTCTTTTTAACGTTCCGTGATAGGGTCTAGGCAAAGATCCGGTGCCCTGTTAACAGAGAAATTAAACAAAACTTATTTTGCAAAAGCAGTGTGTGATTTATCTGCCATTGTCATAGGAATTCCAAGTAAACTACCTCACTGTAGGTAGGAGTTAAGCGTGGCCTGAAAAAACAAGTGTTTTTGTTTTACGTTTTAGAGGATTTTGAAATTAGCTGTTTGGACGACGAGACTAGGCTTATGATTACTGGACCTAAGTCATGAAAGTGATTTATTGAAATATGTTCACAAATGAAACTCACTGGTGGTTATGTGTAAAAAAATGAGTGCCCATGAATAGACCTTTCTTTTTCCCTCTTAATTTTTGAAAAACTTTTTGTAGGTGGTAAGTTGTTAATAGAACTTGATACTAATAGGCAATCCATTAATACTATTATTTCCTCTAGATGTACAAAAAGTAGGTTATAGAAAGATAGCTATGTTAATGGGGTAGAGGCACCTTTTCCCCCTAGTTTACTTTTTTTCCCTTAAAAATAAAAGAAAATCACAAAACTCATAATTTAGTATGTTCTGTGACTCAAGATCTTTTATGTTATTTAGTGTCACGTAAATGTTTATTTTAAACCGTAGTATCAGGAAATAAATTTTAGAGTTATATGGTTTAGAAGTTTGTTTCAGCAGGACAGAGTTAAACTATGAAAATCTGACCTATTTTAAGGTGATATACACATTTACAAGTCAAAGTCTGAGGCATTTTGCCTGCGGGAACTGTTTGGAATTCACTGGCCTACTCTTCCACAGAGGACAGTGCTTTGCCCTCCAATTTTCCGAAAACACGTTTGAAGTCTGTGAAGTGGTGGGTTAAGCTATCCCACAGAGACGCTGAAGTGCCGAACAACCTAGCAGCTCTTCTTATTTGACAGCCCTAAATGAGGTGTTTCTCAATCAGACCGCAGAGGCAGCTTACCCATCGGGGCCGGGAGCATTCGGACCAGAGCGGCTTGGTGTGCTTGGGCCCAAAAGGTTGTCCATCCAGCCTCATGCTGCTCACCAGCTCTTGGGTAAAAGGAGGAATGAGCTAGTTTGTCATATGTGGAGAGCTAGCTAGAAATTAGTGGTGATACAACTGTGGCGTTACTATATTATTAATGTAGTATAGCTGTAATGACTTTAGATTCTGCCTTGCAGTATATGCGCGTAATAGAGCCAGAAGCGGATGCAACCTGTATACTACCACGGAGAAAACTTTCAAAGATTATATAAGCTTTAAGTAACTTTATATAAAATGCTATCTTGGCAAGTTACTATGATTTTTTTTTTAATACTAGGAATACTACATATTTAGAATATTTAGTAAAAAAGTGTCTGTTCTTTGCTTTTCCAGGTTAACTTGTATCTTCTATTAGGAGTTCTTAAACTGGGCTCCATGTTTAAAACCAGAGCCTGTGGTTAGAGCTGAATTTTAACATAAGTAACAAGCATTATTCTGAGGAGTCCATAGGCCCATGAGCTACCAAAGGTGGCTGTGACACACCAACGCTAGGAACCATTGCATCCGGTTGAACAATTTTAGTTTTACATGAGTCACTTCAGAAAAGCTATATCGTATGCTCACCTTTGTGATTTATCAGAAAATAAAACGTTATGCAACATAAACCATATTTGAATATCTTAGCCGTTTCAGTGAACAAAATTAGTTCGCTGCATTGTCATGGTACTTTTTATTTATTTTTTTGGAAATCATTACATTAGCTTTCTATTTTGAAAATATCAACCTGCAGAAAGCAGTTTGAAGAAATACTTTTCCTTTGGAATTTGGAACTTTTATATTTACTTTTTGTGCTTTGCCAAGTTAGCAAATTTGTTCAATAAACATTTATTGGCCTGTAAGTTGTATGCTAGGCGCCAGGGACTCAAAAACCAGTAGCACGGGGTTACAGTGATCAGACGCGTGAGTGCTTCCTTTTCTGAGCCTCCAATCCCTTTCCTGCCAGTCCTCCCCCAACTGCACTGAGATCCTAAAGATAAAATAGCCTTTTTTCCGCCTTCTCTCGCCTCACAAGATGCCGCTTCTCCTCTCTTCCCATTCCCTTTTCAACTCCCGTGACCACACAGCGCCTGGAAGTGTGTGCTGACCCAGCAAAGGATCGGAGAGCACCTCATCCTTGCATTAGGCACCACTCACTGCACTTCGCACATTCTGTTGTTGAGGGTTTATACTGTATCTCACAGGGAGGACAGATCATTACGGGCACCTGAAGATGATGGCAGGTACTGTCATCTAACGTGTCAGGAGAGTGCTGGGTGGGCCCCCCAGGGGACAGGAGTGCAGGCATGGGGAGCATTCTCAGCATAGACCAGGTGACCCCAATGTCAAGGTAACATTTGGTCACTCGTTTTTTTATGGCCGGCTGGGTCTTCATGTTATTTATGAATTTAAATGGCCAGTAGGAATGTTTGTGGGGGTTTTTTTCGGACAAGTTTTACAGGCAGCAGTCCCCTTATCTGATTTAGCTCTCTCCGTTTCAGATACATGCACTCACCTGCGGGCTAAGATACTCAATGGAAATCCCAGAAATAAACAGTTCCTAAGTTTGAGTCGTGCACCATACTCAGCAGCGTGACGAAATCTCGCGCTGTCCATTGCTGTCCCAGGGTGGCTCAGCATCTCTGCTCTGAAAACGCCCCTGCCGCCAGTCAGCCGTCTGGGCTATCACAGTGCTTGTTTGTGTTCATGTCACCCTCATTTTACTTCATACGGCCCCAAAGCACAAGAGTAGCCACGGATGGTTCAGACGTGCCAAAGAGAAGTCAGAAAGTGCTTCCTTTAAGTGAAAGGCGAATTTTCACAACTTAGTAAAGAAAGAAAGAAATCTGCTACTGAGGCTGCCCAGGTCTGTGGAAGGGACTCTTCTATCTGTGGAACTGGGAAGAAGGAAAAGAATTTGTGCTGGTTTGGTGGAGAACAGTGAGACACATTTACAATTTTTAAAAAATAATATATATTAATATTTTTATTTCAGAGAGGAAGGGAGAGGGAGAGAGCAATAGAAATATCAGTAATGAGAGAATATCATTGATTGGCTGCCTCCTGCACACCCTCTACTGGGTATGTGCCCCTGCCCGGAATCAAACCCAGGGCCCTTCAGTCTTCAGGCCGACACTCTATCCACTGAGCCAAACAGCTAGGGCTAAAAATAACATGTTTTTATTGAGAGAACCAAGATGTTGGTGTAGGTAAACAACAATATTCGCTGCCTCCCACAACCACATCAAATTACAACTAAAATACAGAACAATAGTTTTTAGAACTACCTGAAATCTGACTGAACAGAAGTTTTACAACTAGAGAAGTAAAGAAGGAAGTGCATTGAGACTGGTAGGAGGGGGAGGCATGGAACAGGCTGGTCCAACACCCGTGTGTAGTGTTTCTGTAATCGGAAGGTGATATCTCCAAGACCTCGCGTGAGAAGCAAGGGATCCCAGCAGCACACCAGGCCCCCAGCCCAGGGCTCCAGAGCTGGGAAGAGAAGTCCCTGTAACTTCAGGCTGTAAAACCAGCAGGGATTGCAGCTGAGGGACATGGAGGCTGCCGGAGGCCCAGGTGCTCCTCCTAAAGGGCCGGCTGTGAACTTACGTGGTCCCGATTCCTCTGAGCTCCAGAGCCAGGCAGAGGCTTTGGGGGAGTCCAGGGACACATGGGAAGGAACTGGCATTGCAGCAAGAATGCTGGGCGGCTTTCTCCCAGACAGGCGTGCTTGCAGGGCTCATTGTTCCTGTGCTGGGACCACCCCCATCACAGAGCTGACTGGCAGCCATATCTGAGTTTCCATCAAAATGGCCCATCCTGGTGATTCCCTGAGACCCCCGCCCCATCCAATTTTCAGCTCCACCCAAGCTGTTCGAAGCTGCTTTTCCACATGAATGGCCAGTCCTGGCTCTCGTTTCAGAATTTTCTAAAATATCTTAAACAAACAGCAGGTGGAGTCAGCATGCCTCAAACCTATCAATGAAAGTACAAAGATCCAGCACTAGCACTAGCCTGTCTTGCCTCACACCTGGGCCTCACCTGGGCAGTTCCTAGCCCAATACAAATAGCAGCCATCTGCAAATCTCTCTGTAGCTTCTGCTGGATGGCCCCAGGCAGTGGCTGACTTTGCACCTCCCAAGAGACCCCAGAGCCAGTGCACCGGTGGGCAGCTTCAGACCACACCAGATTACAACTCTACACATCCACAGGCGACACAGTCAAGGGGTAGACTCATGAGCACCAGAGCCCCACTGAAGTAAGTCCTGCTCCACAGGGGTGTCTCCTGCACAGCAGCTCTCCCATGGTAGACACAG